CCATGTTCCAATGAAACGAATTGTTAAAAATGTTTCCGCAAGCTTTCTTACTTACCACACATTGTCATCATCTTTCCAAGGTATGTACTCTCTACATTACTCTTCATTCATTCATTTTTTTTTAGTAAGGGTTTTCGCTCGAGTCATCTTGTGTGCACCTTTATATTTCATCAAATACTTAATATCTCTCACCAACACAAATATCGAATAACCTAATCATCATGACTTAGATGGATGGAAAAAATCACTTAACATTTTCATGACAATTAATGTAGTTAATTATAGTTAAAGTTCCTAAAGTAATTTTTCTACAAATTTATAAACGATAAGCTTATTAAATACTTCTTCCGTCTCATATTATCTGTCATGATTCTCTTGTACACGCCTCTTAAGAAAAATTAATTAGGATGGATTTTTGACTACTTTACCATTATTCATGTCTTGATATTTAATCTTTCTTCATTGGCATTTGAACAAAGTTAGGTGTTTCTAGTCTTCAAGGATAATTATTACCAAGGGTAAAAAAGTAAAAAGATATCAATATTGTCTTGAACTTCTAAAATGACAAATAATTTGAAACAACTATTTTTAGTAACCACGACTGATAATATGAGACCGAGGGAGAAACATGTAGCTATCTTTAGGTGCACCTACCTGACTGAGTCCTTTGCTTTTTGTTTCAGATGCTGTAGAAGAGAATTTTGATAGCGGGATTCGTCTTAGTCCATTTGGATTAGCTGCATACAGGATGCAAAATGATATATGGATAAATTCTGATGCACAAGATTATGAAAAACTAAATGATCTTCAGAATGCTGCAGATTCATGGCTGAAGCAGCTTTCCTTTCACCACCATGACTACAATTTCTTCACTTCACATAATAACATAGAGCTTGGTTTCTCATTTTGAACTCATTTACAGCCTAGATCATGTTATGTTTATTATCTTGTTTTCTTAAAGAAACTAAAATTGATGTACTCTCCCTTCCATTTATCTGGTTTTCTCCAACAAACTGTAAGAGTTATTTTGTCCAAGAAACTGAAATTGCTGTACCCTCTTTCTATTTATATGAAAATACCTTTAGATGGCAGAAAATTGTTAGATAATGTAAGACCACATTTCCCTTTATGATAGAATTTCAGCTTTATTATTAAATCATTTGAAATGCTTAATAAATATCTCAGGGGTCGTTTGAAATGCTTAATTATCCCGGGATTGTTATCCCACCCTCCCATAGGGAGAAAAATAACACTACAATCCCGGGATTAGTTATACCGCTATTTTATTCTAACCAAATGTGGGATAAACTCATCTTAAATATAATCCCGGGATTAATTATCCCTTATCCCTCGTAACCAGTGTTGTGAAAAGCGCTCGCTTCAACGCTTAAAGCGTGAAGCGAAGCGAAGCGGGAACTTGGTCGCTTCTATGTTGTGAAGCGTAGCAGGTGTTATAAAGCGTTCGCTTCTGCCAAAAAAGCGAGAAGCGTGAGAAGCGACAGTAGCGACAGAAGCGAGCGCTTCGATATATTAAGGTGCTGCCAACGATTAAAAATTTAAAAAGCTCTCTTTTTTCAAAACATATCGAGCAGCAGAAAAGAACAGACGATTAGGGTTCCCATTTTCTGCACTTTTCAAGTTCAAGTTCATCATGTTCAAGCCCAGGTATGTGATTTCTTCTTCCTCCTCCTCCCCCTTCTTCTTCTTCTTCTTCTTCTTCTTCTTCTTTTTCTTTTTCTTTTTCTTTCACTGTTTCAGTCTCAAAATAGCAGCGAAATGCTGCCAAATTTTTTTTCCCCTCCAGTTCTTCTTTTTCTCATTCTCTTCTTCTTCTGCTTCTTCTTCTTCTTCTTCTTCTTCTTCTTCTTCTTTTTCTTTCACTGTTTCAGTCTTAAATTGCAGTGAAATGCTACCCAATTTTTTTCGTTTCAGTTGTTGCCATTTTTTTGCTTACAGTTACATAGGTTGTCTATGCAGTATTTATTTTAATATTTTTTTAAAAATTCCGCTTCACTTCAAAAAAGCGAGCGCTTCGCTTCTCGCTTCTCGCTTTAAGCGAAAAGGGGCTTGTCGCTTTTCCTCGCTTCACGCTCTTCACAACACTGCTCGTAACAAACGAGCATGCTACTCTATCCACTGTGTGTAGATGCTACAGATTTTTCTCTTTGACATGCATCTTTGGTCCAAGGGCCTGATTCAACCAACCAATTTCTAAATCTGTGCTTTGCTTGTCACAGCAAACTAAGTTGCCGCACGTTTCATATGTTTGACTGTCAATCCACAACCATATTTTCCTAGTTCCATCTTATTTCCGAATTTCCTTCCATACTCAAAAATATAAGTTTTTTGTTGCCACTTGTCTCCCTAGGTAGATTTCACTCGCTAAAGCTTATAACCTAATCGTATCAGTGAATTCTCTCATAGGATAGACGTCAGTTCAATTCTCACTACCCCTTTCCCCTTATATAAAAAAAATAATATTTAAAATACAGTTTACTCTCTGCTCACTTCTTCTCTCTCGTTACTACAAATATCTCGAAATTAGTGGAAAGTGAAACCAAGAAAGATTAGAGATTAATTGGTATTATCATCAGTAGCTAAAAGCCTAAAACCAAAAGGCTGAAAAACATGGATGTTTCAATCCCAAAAGGAACCTTCACGATTGAGCTAAACCTTCAAGCCACAATCCATCATGAACTTGAGTAACTTATGGCTCAGATGTCGAGCTAAAACTAGCATTGCAAATCCGCTCTTCACCTTCCACCCTCAATCTCTCGTATATGCCTTTTTATCTCTACCTTTTCTATCTTAAAGCCAAACTACAAACATTTTGAAACTGGTAGCAAGTAGACCAAGAAAGGCATGTAAAGGGGCGCTGGCTTTTGACTAATAACATATCAAAGGGGCCTTAGAAAATGTAATAGGCTGCTACTCTAGATAGATCAGTTGGTGTAATCATCAACCCTAACTAAAACAAAAGGATTAACAAGCACCGTGCTTCAATTCCAACAAAAGAAACTTTTCACAATGTTTAAATTTAAAGAGCAACTTCTAACTAACTGAGGTGTTGAACAATCAAAAGGCGGCACATTTGAATATTGACATATCAAAAACAAAAACTGACTTCGCTATGAGAAAACAGTACACATCACAGACTATTGATGCTAAACTTGAAATATCTTAGTCTACAAACTAAAGTCATATTTCTATTTCAAAGATTGTAAATAAAGGTTCTTTTCACCGTTTTCTGTTGGTACAAAAGTAGCAATTTAATAGAAATAAGTGGCATATCTTTCTACATATAAAGAAGAAAGAGTCTATGTTTTTAGCATAATGATATTAAACAATAGGCATAATGAATAACATACTTTCAAGGTCCACACGTAGGAATCCTGTATTATTATTTGATTTCATGACCACAAGAAATTTAGAACAGGCTGAACTATACTAAGTTTCCCACAGATATTGAGGCCTAAGTTTCTCTCTGATGATAATCTACACCCACATTTTTAGACAGGTCATTCTTTTTGAGTTTGCAAAAGTTGGATCAACTAAGTTTGTGTGTGTATACATGTATAGTCACTAAAGCTCCACTGTCCTTCAATCTAACCCAGAGTACTACCATATCACTTAGTAGAACTTGATGGTCACTGAGAATAACAAATGCCATAACCAAAAACAACGGACATGTAAGATACAAAAGGAAGAAAAGGAAGTACAAAATGGATTAGGTTTCATCTGCAAATAGCAACTCAGAACAACACTTCTGTGCTTTATGAATTATACTACATGCCGTTTTCATCATTCTTTTTAGATAGAGCGTCAAACTTCTACAGAATGTGCATGCAGTTTTCATCATTCTTCCTTGACCCAAAACTCAACAGCAGAATGAAATTCAGAAACCCCAGCAACTCATACCAGTCAGAGAACAATCTAAACTCTAAAAGATATTCCACTCACTCTGTCACTCAGCACCTTTCACTCTTAATCTCATCATTAGACTACAACCCTAATAGACATATAACTTCCTATTTTTCACAGCCATAAAACTGCACAAATGAAAACCTCTAAACCTAACTCTATTTTGCTTAGAATAAGAAAAAAGAACCAGACAACTTTTTCTATAAGATAAATTATCTTGTAATATGACATCACAAAGCTCGAAGAAGAACTACATGTGAAACAGAAAACTTATTACCACATCCCTTTTGAGATAGATTAACGGTCCGACAACTTTTATTTTTCTGTATCACTACCCAAACCATGTTCGGTTATTTGATTGAAAGGTAAAACAAATGTATACTTCTACGCTTTGTGCGTGTGGATCCATTTTGATATGTCGCTTCTCAGAAACTTGAAAGCTACCGATTACTCTATTTTCTGCCATACACAGTCTTTCTAATGCCCAAGCATTCTTCATTATCACTAAGTAGCTCAAATTTGGAACTGCAATTATAAGGAGCCTCCTCAATCTCACTTCTAAACTTGCGAGCTAATATTTGCTCATTTACAGTCAATTTCATGCCCAAGAATTCTTCATTATCAGTAGGTCAGCTCAATTTGCACTTCAGAAAACAGACTCCTCAATCTCACTTCTCGTACGCCAATGTAGAAAGTAGAATTAAGAGGTTTATTTTTCTTGGATTCCTGGGAAGAATCTATGAGACATGTAAATTTCCTGCCGAAACAACATGGAATTGTGAACCGTGTTTATAAACTCAACATAAATTGGCAAGTATTACGCTGGCTAACAGCTTACTGCAAACCCTCCTCCTCTATCCAGGCTTGGGACCCGCCATGTGAGCAACATATAATATGTCTGATTGTAGCAGGCTTAAGCTAGAATCGGACAATTAGTTTCATTTTCGACATTAGATTGTTTGACTATACCGTATCCCATTCCATACAAAAGAATGATGAAAGGACAATTTTCACAAAGAATTAAAGCAAAAGCTCAACTGCTTCAAAAAGGGAAAATAAAATCACATGAGCACCCAGGATTTCAGAGAAACATATTTCTTTGCACTAATAATAACTAAATATTACCAAACAAGTTCAAGCAGAACAACAACCAGGCTTATGAAAACAGATTCAAGGGCACAAAATTAACAAAGAGATGATAAAATTTCACTAGGTTTGAGATTTAGGTTTACAAATAGGAAAAGGAGGCAACCGCAGCAGAGCTTCCTCTGTCTCAATTGGGTCTGATCTCAGTATCTACACATAAAACAAACAAAAAATAATGCTTCCATTCATTAATTAACCCAAATAATCAGAGAAAATGGTGAATGCAATTGATAACCATATCTGAAGGAGAGAACGCTTACTGGATCTTGAAGAAGTGGCTTTGAGTCATCTTTAGCGGGTCTGAAAAGGGGTTTTGTTACCTTCTTCACTTCACTATCGCCGTTCTTGTTACTGATATGGATGTTTTCGCTTGGCTTCATCTCCTTTACTTTTTGCCTAAGGGTTTTTTTCTTTCACTTTCCCCTCTTCCAAATTCCAAAAGTGTTGCAAAAACACAAAATTTTAGGACCTGTTTGTTTGTCCATGATTTTTTTTCGGGATCTTTTTCGAAAATGTGCTTATGGTACTTTTTTTTTTAGATTTTTCGAAAATGAGTTTTTTTTAAATTAAAAAGTAATTTTGACGATTTTATTAAGTTTTTCAAAAAAAATATTTTTTCCCATTTAAAAAACTGCAATTTATTTTTTAGTGAAATGCATGTCCAAATATAATTTAAAATTTTAAATACTATTTTTTAACTTAACTCCAAAAATTATCTGTTTTCAGAAATTATATTGTAATTTTTATGTCCAAATGCTTACTTATTGTATAATGCCCTCCAATGTTAGTTTTTGTCCCCAAGAAACTACTCTGACAAAATCTTGACCTTTGTTGAAAAACAATTTTTTGCAAGAAAAGAAAAACTAAAATATTTTCAAATTCTTTTTCTAAATCTTGAACTAAACGTCATCTTATTTTGTGTTTTAGAATGGGTAATTTGGGGTCGATAAAATTTTGTAGGGTGGTGTAGCAACCGTGAGCATTAAGAAGCGTTCAAGCTAAAAAGTGGGAAAATGTTCAAATTTAGCTAAGGACAAACTTTGCTATTTGTCAGTAGTTTGGCTCATTTATGTTTTTAAGTAACTAATTAACGGACCAATATCAGGGAAAATGTCCAAATCTACCCATTGTGGCTTGTGAAATGTCTAATTTTGCCTCAGCCAAGTGTATTACACAAAAATTCCACTCAATTGGTGCTGTAAATTTAACTTCCACTTTAACAGTTTAACCACAACACTACCAGTCGTTCCATCATCAACCACAATATTTAATTCAACTGTCTCTCAATCAATTTGCCTTGACAATCCACAACTTCATTTTCCTCACCTCCAATTAATCGTTAGCAACCATGTAAATACCGTTGTAGCCACAGTACACTATCAATTTCTCCACCCATAAAGTATCATACAATCTCACGTCCTTATTTTCTTCTTTAATCTGATATCTAAAATTCATTTTTCCATCCACCGTGCCTCCACACAAATCACAACTTCCACCGCACTCATCCCTAAATAGTTTCTATGGAGAATAAATAGAGAATATTGATCAACAGCAAATGAAACAGGAAAAATAACTTATTGAATTAACGTTGCATCATGGCAAGTTACTGTCTTGAAAGCGATTTCAGCCCGACTAAGGTACATTTGTTAAGACCGGTCGCTCCAAGGTTTCACAATACCTCCAAACACGTGCACTCATAGTTGGAAGTTTAGAGTTTGTACAACATAATTGCCCAGAAACTGACTTAAGAAGAAGAGAGAAAGAAGGTTTTGTTAGCGTTATCTTTTAGTCTATTAGTTGTATTAGGACTTTATTTGATTTATTCTTGTAATTATCTGTTTCATATATTGTTGTAACTTCCTTTCCTTATATTGCTGTAACTTCATCTTATAAATACAAGTCTGGAAAGGTGAGGACGACTCACGCTTTGACATTTTAGTTTATCTATTTCATCTTGGTATCAAGAGCCCTAAACGATCCCCTTCAATGGCTCCAGAAAATTCATCCTCCTCCTCTACTCAAACCGCCATGAATCAATCTTCTCTTGGCCTCCCCATTCCCCCTCCAACAGTTTTCAATATCAAAGGTTTTGTTCCTATCGAATTGACATATGTCAACTACTTTACCTGAAAGGGAGTTTTTCTCACAGTCCTTAAAAGTCACAACCTTCTTTCCTTAGTAGATGGAACCATACCATGTCCATCACCCGACCACGCTGATTACAAGATATGGATTCAATGTGATACTATTGCATTAAGTTGGATTAATACAACACTTTCTTTTGTTGTTCTTGACACACTTTTAAATTATGCTTGTGAGACATCTAAACAGGCTTAGGACACCCTCGCATCACTATATTTGGATCAAGTTTTTTCCTCTGCCATTCACCTTAAGTCGAAATTCCAAACTTTCAAGAAAGGTCCCCTTTCTACGGAGGATTATCTTCAGCAACTTCACTCTATTGCCTGCTTTCTCAGGGCAATTGGTAAACCTGTGACTGATGATGATTTAGTCACTCAAGCTTTGCAAGGATTGCCTTCATCTTATCGTACCTTTGTGTCTGGATTAAATGTTATTGGCTCACTTACTTCTTTCATTGCATTACGGCCACTTCTTTTCACTGAAGAAGCTCACATTAATGCAAATGCTTCTGAAGAGTCAAATGCTCAAACTGCTTTGCTTGCGTCAACTCAAGGGAAGACCACTTCTAATTCATCATCTTCCTTCAATGGAAATCAGCCTACAAAAGGACACTTCCATAGATGAGGTCGTGGCAAAAATAACAAGGGACAATATGGTAGGGGTCGAGGATACCACAATTCTTCATGGTCTGGTTTCCAACATCAATCTCGGCCTCCTTCCCCCGCTACTGGTATTTTGGGTAGATCACCTTTCGCTCATACTAAACAATGTCAAATTTGTTTTCATTATAATCACATTGCGTTGGAGTGCAGAAACAGGTTCAACCATTCCTTTGTGGCTAACAATATTCCTAAACTATTTGCTGCAATGAATTTGGAGGAGGTTCAACCAACAGTTTGGTACCAGACTCTGAGGCATTTGCGCACATGACAAATGATCCTTCTACTCTTACTACTCACACTCCCTATTCTGGTCCTTCTCAAGTCATGGTTGGAGATGGTACTCTTCTCTCAATTAAATCTACTGGTTCATCTACCCTTCCAACAACTTCTAAGCCTTTTCTCTGAAAGAAAGTTTTATATGTTCTGTCCCTTGCTAAAAATCTGCTTTTTATTCAACGCTTATGTGTTGATAATAATTGTTTTATTGAATTTACTAACTCTAGTTTTTTTGTCAAGGACTTGAAGACCAGAACAACGTTGCTCTACTGTAATAATTCTGTGTCTCTTTATCCTCTACGTGTCGCTCCATCTGCTTCCTCCATCTTTGGTCTCTTTGCTAAAGTCTTGCCTACTTCCCTTTGGCACCAACGTTTGGGACATCCTGGTCGAGAGTCTCTTAGTTCTTTAGTTTCTAAAAATTTAATTCTTAGTACTTCTTCCATCAACAATTATTCTTGTAATATTTTCCATTTAGGCAAACAAACTAGAATGTTTTTTCTTTTATCAAGTAGTAATGCAAATTTTCCGTTCGTTTTAATTCACTCAGATGTATGGCATGCTCCTACTGTCTCAAATTCGGGATATCGTTATTATATTTTGTTCCTCGATGATTATACTAAATTCTCTTGGATATACTTGATGCGTGAAAAATCTGAATCCTTTGGATCTAGTAATGCAAATTTTCAGTTCGTTTTAATTCACTCAGATGTATGGCATACTCTTACTGTCTCAAATTCAGGATATCATTATTGTATTTTATTCCTCGATGATTATACTAAATTCTCTTGGATCTACTTGATGCGCGAAAAATCTGAATCCTTTGACAAATTCAAAGAAATTTATGCAATGGTTAAAAATATTTTCCACACCTCTCTTCCTTATTTCCAGTCCGATGGAGGTGGGGAATACGTTAACAACAATTTTAGTTTACTTTTTAAACAAAATGGCATAGTCCATCATTTTTCTTGTTCTCACACTTCTGCTCAAAATGGTAGGGCCGAGAGAAAACATCGACATATTGCAAATGTCCTATGATGTCTTATTTTTCAAGCATCTATGTCTTTTCAATTTTGGGCGGATTCGTATTTATATGATGTCTTGCTTATTAATGTTACTCCCCTTCCATTGCTGCGTTTTAAATCTCCGTTTGAAGTACTCTATGGTCATGTGCCGGATTATAATTTAATTCGTGTATTTGGGTGCATATGTTATCCCTTTGTGGCATTTAGTCATTGTTCTAAGTTTCAACCTCGATCAAGACCTTGTTTATTTCTTAGTTCATCGGATAAACACAAAGGATTTAAATGTTTGGATCCTTGCTCAAATAAGATTATAATCTCTCGGCATGTCCATTTTGTTGAGGACTTATTCCCGTTTCAGACTCGATTTCCTACTCCTACTCCAAGTTCCTCACCCAATTCTAAATATCCAGTCCATATCATACGTCTCGGTGGAATTCTCCCCCCTTCTATTTCGCAACAACCCATTTCAAACAGGAAAAATCTTCTGCTTCCTCCAACTTTGCAGAATCCTATTTTAAATGGGAACAGTCATCCTAATCCATCTAATTTGCAGCACCACATTTCAAATAGGACTCTTCAAACTCCTTTGAATAATGAGAATATTTCCAGCATTTCTCCTTCTTCACCAGGCACTCTTTCTCCTTCACATTCTCAATCACCTTTGGATCACTTAACTTCTAATAATCAACCTATTGTATCCACTTCGAGTTGTTCCTCTCTCTCTCTCTCTCTCTCTCTCTCTCTCTCTCTCTCTCTCTCTCTCTCTCATATTGCACGTGATTATTCATCTCATTCAATCACCTTTGGATCACTTAACTTCTAATAATCAACCTATTGTATCCACTTCGAGTTGTTCCTCTCTCTCTCTCTCTCTCTCTCTCTCTCTCTCTCTCTCTCTCTCCCTCTCTCATATTGCACGTGATTGTTCATCTCATGCACATTCTACGCCAACTCTTTCTCCATCCGACAACCTTCAAGTATCTCGCACACAACCAACAATTGTACAACCTCAAACTCATCATATGACTACTCGCTCTAAAACAAGGTCTCTCAAGCCACGTATTCTTCCTTCCTTAATGGCTTATACATGTCCATTTTATCCGAACCTTCCTCTTTTGCTCAAGCTTCTAAAGACAGTCGTTGGATAAAAGCAATGAGTTCTGAATTCGATGCTCTCGTCCAAAATAAAACTTGGACTTTGGTGCCTCCTCCTCCTAATGCAAATATTGTTGGCAACAAATGGGTGTTTCAAATCAAGTTTTGTGCAAATGGCTCCGTTGAAAGATTTAAAGCTCGTCTAGTGGCTCAAGGTTTTTCGTAGAAGCCTGGAGTGGATTATCTTGATACTTTTACTCC